TCAAACAACGTATATTGTCATCTCTTTCCTTAATTTCGGATCTTTCATTTCATGGGTGCGGACACTCTTAACATCATTTCTTCCAACAGCAACTATAAGTAGCACCATAATGAAACGAGAGTCGTTAGTGTGGGTTCCGCAACGAATTGCTTGAAGCCATATAGTTGACAAATGTCCAGAAACTTGACAAATGTCTCGCGACAACTCGCCCGGCGTGTTTTCGGGTGTAAGTTTAGGAGACGGTATCGATACCGCAAGACGGGATGATGAAATTAGTCATCACCTTATCTTGCGGTATCGATCGGTATTCGGCGCTGTCAACATCTTTCTAGAACTGCACGTCGCAGCATGCGACGAAAGAACGGACGGAGGTCGAAGTTTGAAAGCAGCCTTTAAGAGGTCACAGAATTTTTTATACATCTTCATTAATTGAGTAGCCTATTAGTTTATTGCTTCGGAGAGTCATTTTCATGAATATATGTCCTGTTCGTCTGTTTAGCAGGTATCAAAACCAGTGACGAGCATCCGACTCACACCGAGAAATTTAGTCGAATCATCTATATATACGATACAAAACTCCGCAAAATATTGAACATGATTTCTCCTCGATGTTGTTGTTCGTCAAAGTTGCTGTTTTAGTAATCAAGGTATTAGTAAAGCTAGGCACATTTTCAGTGATGCATCAGATTATAGGTTTATGACTCCTATATCTGATGGTGTAGCGGGATTGAGGGTTTTTCTGTTATACTCTAGTCTTGCCTATATATATTTATTACTGGTTTAACATTACAAATAGAGCAAAAGGGGAAAGGGGTCAGGATGAGGTGGCCATACGGCCAGGGCGTATTCCACGGCGACGAAGACGAGCAAGTCGACACGGCTGTCTCGAATCGGCCACTCTTATAGTGGTCTTGTGCGGCTTGCGTAAGTGATTGATGGCGAGACCCATGATGAGGCTGCAGCGAAGCGAGGACTCGACAGGCGGTAGCGAAGCGAGGACTCGACATCTCCATTCCTTACAGTAGGCCTGTCCTCGAGCTTCGATTGTAGTTCCGGTATGGTACAGGCATTCTCTTAGAGCATAAAGCTGCAGAAAAACAGATGAGATGCCTTTTATGACATTTGTTCCATATACGAACATTGATATACAAATGTTAAGTTGAAAGTCAAGAAAAAGGCATAGATCGTGCCAGATGCATCGCATTGAAAAGAATAATCGTAAACTGCAAGGGGCTAGAACGGCTAGGTTTCGCCATTCCTTCGAAAATCAGGCTCGTCCTCGAGCCGAAAAGTAGTGAGGCGTGCAGAAAAGGATGGAGGGGGGAGGAACATCTTCATGATCGTAAGTTGATGATAATAAACCATACGAATGTTACTCTTACTAGCTATACAACAGTGGCGATGGTCATGAAAACGAGGTATAGGCATTTTTCTTTCTTTTTTTTTACCACAATAAGCCGATATGAAACCGTAACGCTATTTATGGTACTAAGGTGATAACATAATCACGTGTTATTCGTTATACTGAGACGAATAACAATATTGTGACACGAAATATTAGTCTATTTGAGCCTAGGGCGACTAATATACGAACAGAGTTGAAATACTGTGAATCGAGTATTAGTCTGTGGTACGGGCCACTAGTGTAGACAAGTACAAGGGCGTGTTTATAAATTTTGATGTAAATGAGTTGAGTGAGTGCGCTGGAATTCTTCGAACTGCCTATTCAAAGAATTCGAAAACATTCGCAACATTGCGGCGAAATAAAGGGAGGAGACTCAAAATTGCCATTAGAAACTATCTATGGACCTGATAGTCTCTATCATTATTCATAACGACGCGTCACATGAGCTCGCTTTTTCTGAAGACGACGAGCACGACGTGCTCTTGGTTATTCTATGTCGTTTGATGCTTCCGAAGTTTGTGGTAAGGGTGGTGTTGATTTGTGGTGAAGGACCAACTGACATTGAACGCGAAGAATGTATTTTAAGACGATCAATGCGGAAATTTGGCGCATCGAGCGGCCTACTAGATTTTGAATAGTCGCGTTAGGACGATTCATTTCTCTAATTATAAAAAGGCTTTTCCATTGATTAGTAAGTCTGGACGAACCGTGTCGTCATACAAAAGAACAGGATTTCTAATGGAAACGTCCTTTGAATATACCTTGTTGAAATGTCGTATCCAAGCTTGTACTGCGCCGTCATCAAAGCGATTTCCTTGCCGACATACATAATGACGTTTTTCATGCTGGTCGTAAATTGATCAGCGGAGTCGTCGGATGCCCACGAGCTTGGAAGGGAGTCCATGGATAATGTCATTTCAATTTATTGGAAATCTGCCATGTACGATGAACTATGGGCTGTATCCTGTAGTTTTGTTTATGTCGAAATTGCACGCGAAAATAATGGGTTGTAAATAGTCAGACCATAAAGCGCGAGCATCGAGGCAGTATGCTGTGAGAAAGTCAGTTATCATCTTGACAAGTCTCTCAGCTTGTCCGTTTGCTTTATGATTATAACTAGTGGTGAAACAATTACTGATTCCTAGTGTTTTATTGCTTTTTTTGCAAAACTGCGCTGGTATAACTCGATCCCCGATCATAGACGAGTTCTTTTGGAATACCATGCTTCAAAATAACGCCATTGATCAAAGCTTGAATTACTGATTCTGTTGTATGCTCTGATAGCGTAGAACATATCACGAATTTACTAAAACTGCATAATGGTATTGATATGAACTCACTTCAATCCAAACATTGCGGTAGAGGTCCAATGACATCTGTGTGGATTCGCTCGAACGGTAGTGACGGAGTTTTTTTTCGCGAATAAAATTCGTTAAGTTTGCGATAAAGAAGGTATCAGAGAGCTGGCAAAACTCCCATTCGTTCACGAATAATGAGGGTGTAGAGTGTTTCACACTTTCGTCATACTGTACATATGTTTATGTAGGTCGTTACATCTTAACAAAGATTTTGCCAAAAGTATTTCTCCTTGGTTTTCTTATATGTCTTATGTGTTCCCGAGTGTGATCCTAATAAAGTTCCTCGTAAAACAAAGCAATGATGTTGGATTGCATTTCAGGGTCGGGAATAAATGATTTCGCCTCATTATGCATTGAATAGTATAAGGAGTTATTTTAGGTATAAAACCATTCAGTGGTGTTCTCAAATTTTTGAGGGAGCTCCTCAAGATCCTTAGGGAGAAACTTTATTACAGAACCGTATTTTGAGTTCCTCTGACTCTTGAATTTGCTCTAGAGATGGAAAGACTGCGCCACTACAGAGTTCACGTTTGGTTGGGGAATCTGCCCAAGTAATCGCAGAATGTATCATGCTTCCGTGCGCGGTACTCGACTGTTATATCGTAAGATTTTATTATAATGATATTTCGCTAGGCGTCCTACCAAATTCGATCTGTGCATTAACGATTCAAAGGGCGCGTGATCTGTGATGACTGTGATTCGTGCATATTGGTAAAATTTTTTCAATGCAGACGCTATTGCTAAAGCCTCTAGTTAATAGCTGCGTAGTTTTCATGTTTATTCAGAGATCGGCTAGCATGCGCACTGAGTTGTTTCCTTGGGCTTGTGCGTTAGTCTGTAAGAGACATGCACCTAACAAAATGGTGGACGCATCAGTAGGAATGACGTAGGGTTGCATAAATGTAGGAGAAACCAAAAAGTGGTTTGGTTTAAATGGGGCATTATTGAGGCCGAGTTTGTAGAGGGGTACTGCAATAATGGAAAAATACGGAATATAGCGGCGAATTAAGAAGCGGCTCCAAGAAATGACTTTACTGCTTTGACATTTTTTTTCGGGCGCGGTATGTTGGCTATTCTAATCACCTTATCGGGGTTGGGACGAGTACCATTTTTACTAACAAAAACGCTTGAGTATTTCACTTCAGTTTGGAGAAGGGAATACTTCCCGGTGTTAATTTCATTCGCAACGCTAGAATGCGTTGGAATAGTTCTTCTAGGTCTCAAGGTGCTTATTGGCTGACTGACTTGCAATGATTATGTCATCGATATATGCAAAGCAACAAGCTCGTAGTCCTCTTCGAGACTATTGACTACACGTTAAATGGTTGCCGGAGCTCTTCGAGACCTCGCACCATTGTGAAGTGATATAACCCGAGAAAGAAAGAGAAAGCTGTTTGCTCTTTGTGTTTTGGTGATAGGGGTATTTGAAAAAAAACGCTTTTAAAATCGAGAACTATGTGGAGTTCTTTCTCTCTGACTAGGTCTGGAATATTCTGCACACGCGGTGTGCTGTAAGTCTCTGTATACGTGATTGCATTGGTTTGCCGATAGTCTACTGTGAACCTCCATTGGTCCTCATTAGTGATTGTTAATGATTGAGCGATTTCGGATCAATAATTATCTGCAGTTACTTCAGAGTCCTCCGATGGTTCGATGTGGTTGGTGGCAGAATAAACTCCCGAAGTTGAATGGGGTTTGATAAGATAAATGTCTAATGAGTTTCTAGCTAGATAAGAGTGGGTATTGGTGGTGCGTTAAAGAAGATGTCTTGGTTAACAAAACCGTTGAGCAAATTCAAATGGATATTTGATATATGGATAGGCTGCGGATGATTTTAATGGTTGGCGCCATCATTTTAGATACCGGAAGGTGGGTGGTAACAGTTACCATTAGGGCTAGATTTAGTGACATCGCGGTCCCAGGTTGGACAAAATAGTAGGCCTTTTCTACTCGAACCGGGGTAAACGGATAACAGGTTTCATCTGTGTTGTGATAGGTGATGATTTAGTCTATTACGATATCCTTACGTTTGGATATCACTAGGACGTCTCCCGACAATACAGCGAACACGTCCTTCTCTATTAAGGAGCATTCGAGCGGCGCTAGTTGTGTAGAGTGATGACATGCTTTTTATAGTGTGAATTTTGAAGTTGGTCAGAGAGCTAATAGGAAGTTAAGATCTTGTTGCAAAATTTCTTCCACTTCAGTTTTGAGGAATTGCATCGTAGTGTTAAGTTCAGCATGCCTATTATCCTGGCGCTGCTGCCGCCGCTGTCCCATACTGGGGTCGTTAATCATAGTGGTGAAATCTAGTTCGAGATTGATGGCCATATGATGGGCTACGCGTGCAGATATGTGAGGTAGGATAAGCTCTGAAGGTGATTCTGTAATTTTTAGAATCGATCGTATGAGCTTGTTCAGTAGGGTCTCCGAGCTTCAAAGTTGTTGATACGAATTTTCGTTTGCCGTTTTCGAGGTTCTTGCCCTAACACTTGGAAGAATTCCTTAGGCACAGCTTTGTTTTCGGAAGAGTGTGTTGCCCAATTGTATAGCAACTTCCTGTAAAAGAGATTAAATGTTTTCTCGCTGTCACGTAGTGGCAACGGGTGCAAATCTTTGTCGTCTGATGCCGCAGATCTACGTGAATGAACACCCGAGGGTTGTTTCGAAGATTAGTCGATATGAGTGAGTGTGTTTAGAAGTTGAATCAACTTCTAGTTGTAAAAGTGTTGTTGGTTAATAGCTCGTACCACATCTGGGTGTTGAGAGAGCACGAATCGAAGGTCATACTTCCTTAATTCCGGCAAGTCTATAAGTTCATCATTGTCCATAGTTACGGCATTAGAATTTAAACATCAAGCACTTTTTCAGAGGGTGGAAGTGATATATTTTTATATGTAAATGCAGATTGAATATCAACAAGTATTATATGGGTGGGCGGAAGTGGTGTAGTGGCAAGTGGCGCACTATTTCACACGCACGGTCAGGGGTTCGAATCCCGGATCGATGCCCGCCCAGGCCAGCCAGGCCTACCATCTCTCCGGGGTCGGTTAATTGGTACCAGACTTGTCTGGGAGGATAAAAGCACTGACTTGCACATCGGCTGGCCACCGCAAGTCATTGTAAAGGCCACATACGCACGCATTACGCCACTGCGATTCTGAATGGAAGTCTAGTGCGGGGGCGCATCCCTCAGACGGGATTGATTAACGCCAAAAACTTCGGGGCGCATCCCTCAGACGGGATTGATTAACGCCAAAAACTTTATCCTGTATCCTTTATTATATGGGTGGGTGTTACATATTCGATTCCTTAAACGGCTCTGACATACCGACATATAGGTGGTCAACGTGGAGATTTATCCCATATAACAGTGCC